TTCCAAGAGTTCCATTCTTTGAGAAACAGTAGGATGCATGCAATATATATTGTAAAGCATTTTACTATATATTCTATTGTTTTGTTCTTCTGTTTTTAATAGGTTGTAAGGTTATAACTTGTCAAAATGGCTCAGCAGGTGGCAGCACCTAGCTGACCTTGGCTGATCTCAGAAGCTAAACAGGATCAAAACTCATTAGCCCTTGGGGGAGAGGCTTCCTGAGAATCTGTTGTTGGCTAGACCAAGAGTTGACCCAAACATCTGTAATTTTGTGAAGAAAGCTGCCCAAATGCCCTGACCAGGAGTCACGTTGGACTGAATGGATCTTCCTCTTGACCTACCAGTTGTATCTACATAACCTCAAAACTGAGCTCCATTCCCACGATTGACAGGTGCCATGAATGAATTGGGAAACCGAGGCATTCCTATTCCCCAATCCTCATCTTCCTCCACAACACAAGGACACACAGACATTGTATATTCTCTACAATTACAATTTGCTTCCTGTAAGCCCCATCCTTTTCCTGCAGCTACCGTCGACCATCTTGACTTCCAACCAAAGCCATACCTTCAAAGCAAGCCATTTTAAGATTTAGAAACCGTGAAGACCCTGGAGCGGCTTGGAACCCCTCCATTCATTCATAAACCTCTTGCTAAGATCTCATTGTTCTTCTGCGGTGCAAGTTCTAACGGTGTCAGGAAACTGCAATTTTTTTAAAAAAAAAAAATCCCCACGTCGATTAAGTACCTTCACGAAACTCAAGTTGCAGAGTTTTGCTTTTGCTCCAAATTGCCATTTGCATTGTGTGTCGGCATCGTAGATCTGTCCTGGGAGTTTATCTGGATACTTGTATTGTCCAGCTTGTTTGGGCTCATCTATCAGACACGCTGCCTGAGCAGTGCTGTGAAAAAGAGAAGCAACCACTTAAACCTTTGCTCTTCCCAAAAAACAAAACAAAACTGGTCCCAGATTTCAGATTTAAAAAATGCAATTCTCTAAGCTTGGACTTACTTGAGAAACTTGTTAAGGTACTGTCGGCTACACACTGACCATGAAAACACTCCATTGTTGCCTATGAGAGTGGGAGACATGATGTTACCTTCAGCTTTTCGACATGGGTTTCCTTCTCCGTCGTGAATCATGCCAAAACTGGGCACGCCAGGAAAAAAAAGAAAAGAAATCGATTAATTACAGCACCAAGGCCAGACACAGTAGAATATTTAATAGTAGAACTGCTACCTACTTGTATATATGTTTAATAAAAAGATAACTAGAGTCAGATCTAAGAAATAATTAAGAACAGCTATCATAAAATAAAACAGAAGAAAAATGCAACCATACGAAGCTTCAAACTTAATGGTGCAGTCTACTGTAGGGATGGTAGCAACTTGGAAGAAGATAGCATTCACTAGATACAGCAATCTGTAATAAAAACTTACTATACACATGGTTAGAGAAAATTACTAAAAAAACATAAAGATTTTAAGCCAGAACTATTTTTGTTAGGCATAATTGTAGGAAATTATGAGAAAGAGTGTATATATCTAATTTTACATGTTTTAACTGTAGAACTGTATTCGCTCAACATTGGAAAAATGAAGATTTACCAACGGAGGAAGAGTTAATTAAAAAAAATTTAGATTGTGCAGAAATGGATAGATTGACATTGAAAAGGAAAGAGAAAGAAGATTCAGTTTATTTTAGAACATGGGACACCTTTTATCAGTGGCTAGAAAAACGTGCATACACACACACACACACACACACTGGGTGATCTAAGATCACAATAATTTAAGACCAACATTCTGTCTTGTGAACTAACTTACTGACTTAAAACATGAGAATGATCTATTAGGCCTTTGAAATGGTAGTGGAAAAACTGAAGTTCGATCCAACCATCCTTGATGTTTCAAAAATATTGGGGTTGTGCCAGCCACAGTCAAATTTGTTGAAAGAGGAGTGATGTGTGAAGTTAAATAAATGCTTTGCAGATGACTAAGCATTTATTTATCTTTAAATACTCCATATTATTTTGCAGAGCCAGTGGTGACTATTGACACAAAACAGCCATCTCGGTGATGGAATCTGGACTTTAGCATTTCTTTTCAAAGAAGATTTGCTTGCCCCATTAATCTTTTGCCATCTGAAGCCATTAACAGGGCAAGACCTTACTGCTGCAAAATGTATTTGAGACAGAGATCAATTGGCTTATGCTCATAGAGCATTAGAGTCCTACTGTTGTTAATGCAATACTCACATTCTTTTAGTGTTATTCTATATCTTCTCCTTTCCCCCCAAACAGCCTTTTCAATGTCTTAGAGATGGAAAAGTTGGAAAGAGGGGAATAAATGAATGATTTTGATTTTTTTAAAATCATCTGCCTTCTTCTGAATGTTGCTACATCTATAGGTTGTTGCTTCCCAGACTTAGTTCAGTGACTTAAAAGAGGGATCTGTGGGGCCCTTGGTGCTCTCGGAGCTTGGTGGTTTTCTTGCAGACATTTCATTACCAAACTAGGTAACATCATCCATGCTGATGTTATCTAGTTTGGTAATGAAGCATCCGCAAGAAAACCACCAAGCTCAGAAAATACTATCAACCCCACAGTACAGTCCTGAGCTAAATATTTTCTCTATTGTTGATTAAATGGGAAGTCCCTAAGGAGGAATGCTTTTTTTCCTTGGTCCCATGAAAAAGAAGCAGGAAGAAATAGAATGAATCTTTTCCAGGACTGTCCACAGTGACACTGACCCACCAGAAATGAAAATAAAAGTGAGGAAGTGGTGATAAAATTGTGTCCCTGCCAACAGCTTGTATGACTGATCCTTCATGGTTTGCATATGGAGTAGTGTTACCAAAGTTAGTGTTTCTCAACTACATCAATTTTAAGATATGTGGGCTTCAACTCTCCAAATTTTCATGCTGGTTGGGGAATTCTAAGAGTTGAAGTCCAGCCGTCTTAAAATTGTTGCAGTTGAGAAATACCGATCTAAGAGAAGGGATGGTGGCCTCGTTCATACAAATATAGCCACAGTTTCTGCCATTTTCTAAGAGAATCAATCATTTTAATGAAGGAATCTCCATCACTGTTATCCACCCCCCCAAGTTGGATAAAGAATTTTGGGATATTACCGATGCCTCCTTCCAGTTTTTCCATTTTTAAGTCTCCAGCTTCCATAATTGGATTCAACCTCATTGGTTGAATTTCCAAAGAAAAATGCTCTGATAAAACTTGCATGATCTATTTAAAGAAAAAAAAACCTACCTATAATTGTTTCAAACGTTCTCTCCCCTCCACAATTACTGTCTGACTGCTAATAGGATCATTAGGCAGCCCTTCTAAAGGACTGTCTGCCTCTAGGCAACTGAAGTCCATGGCTGCCAATTTCCCATATTATTCAGCTGAAAAGGCGCACGCTTGGACAAACGACAATGGGGGGGATTTCCTAGCAGTTATTGGCAAATGAATGAACTTCAGTCTTTCCAAGATACTTTTTTTTTTTTGGAAGGCATTTCATAAATGCTTCCTGTCCGGATATCAACAATTATATGAAAGAGAAAGTTAGGAAAGAGGAGGAAAAGGAGAACAAAAATCTCAGAAAGAATGTTATTTACTGTGCACTCATCAAAACAGAAGATTTTAATGCAAAATCATGAAAAATGTATTGCATAATTCTTTTTTATTCTCACTGAACTCGGTCTACTATATATAGGGAGGAGCTCTGTCTCCTGTAACTCTCATTAATTTTAATAAGGGTACTGAAGGATAATAACATTATATTCTAAGGTCAAAATGGCACCCCCTGGATGGCTTTGGAGCAGTGATTCTCCCTCAGTCCAGGGAAAAAAGGAGAAGGGAATATTATGGAGAGTGACTTGATCTTCTGGAGAAAAGCTAGAGAAAGCTTTTAAATCTTTTAAAAGTTTCTCTAGCTTTTCTCCAGAAGATCAAGTCACTGTCCATCATATTCCCTTCTCCTTTTAAAGCCAGCATACTTCAATGTTGGGGACGAAAAATAATGCACCATTCTGTACGCAGAATTGAATGATGTGAGATGTAAGCAATCATTAACCGTATGTCTCAAAAAAGAGGAAGCAGACCACCTATATAATATCTGCAAAGAACTATGACTGCAAAGAAGCATGACTGCAAATAAATATAATCCTTCCAACCCCCCCCCCCCCATCCAATCAGAACTGATGAAGCTTCTTGGGTGAAAAGCAAAATGTCTTCGTCCTCAAGTCCAGTTGACTTTTGAAAAAACACCTTTGAGACAACCATGACCTGGATGACATGAGAATCTCCACAGACATCTTCTAACAAGGTGGATATCCATACAACCTCATTGAATATTCAATCCATTATAGCTCAACTGACACAAGCTATGAAAATGTTAACACTGCCAGACAGCAAAACCATTTCAAAAACAACTGACAGTCTATTACAATCACATCACCAAAGCATACAAACCAACTAACCCCTTAAGCAAATCAAAAGAGCCAGTAGCCCCAGAAGAAAAAAACAGGAGTCATCTAAAACATATAACAAAAAGACTATAACAAGCAGAAGACTAGCAGAGCACATCCCTGAACATCAGCTAACAGTCAGAAGACAAATTCTTAATTTCACAACATATGGACAGATTTAAGAATAGTATCAACTGAGAAACTGAGAGCATCCTACTAAATAAATTTAAAAAAAGCTAGGGAAGTCCTGGGAACTTGGTACAGACAAATGAGCCATCTATAGGCACATAGAAATAAATAACATTTACATAACATTCAAAATAGATAACAAAAAATCTAAAAAGGAAATGAAAAGACCAGAACACTTCCTGTCCAGCAATTCACACCCATATAACCAGGGATTAACACCAGATAAACAATGAAGGAGTAAACAACAGACTAATCAAGGAATCACTAAGGAGATAACAACATTTCCACCAGTTCTGTTAGTTAGGGCAAGTTATGTCCTTAGGCATTCAATTGCTAGCCTTTCTTTTTATGTACTACAAGCGTGTAAAAACTGGAACTCAATCAAACTATAAAAAAGGAATATGAGTTAAAGAAAAACCACATATAAAAATGTCCCAGCCTCATTGCTAAGTAGGTCATTCCTTTAACGGTGTACAAATTGGATACATAGAGAAATACATGGCTGAATCTCTGGATAATCCCTGTTTTTAATGACCTTACCTCTGGATTAACATCTCTCTTCGCTTTCTCTCACCCTGTACCTTTTTTGGTGATTGTGTCTCACGGTTTTGGCCTGTCCGTTTGTTTTTGTCACTTATCTACTTGGTGATCTGATCCACAGACCCATGAAGGGACCAACCAATCGCTATTATCATAATCTTACTCTGAGCAAAGAAGGGTAGAATTATATCACAACAGGATTAACCAATCAGTGCTGATTAAGCAGAGTTTTGAAACAGGGGGAAAAATGATTCTGAGAAGAAAGTTGTGGACATGCTCCAGTTGTAACCAGTGTTTGTCCTCCATAATTCTGCCCCTCTCCCTACCCTACCCCCCCCTCACAAAAGAGCGCACATCTCAATTCAAAAGGTCCAAGGACTGAATTCTGACATTCGTTTTTTATGGTTCGCCTCCCACCCACCCACCCACCGAAACAACGCCTGGCAAAAATTAGCACTGGGTCAGGATTAGTCTTTTAATTCCTCATTTCCTTTCAGATGAGGAGAAATCAGTCAAAGGGCCACTCATGCAAACAGGAGGTCAGAGCCAGTCTTCCACTCTGTATTTACACAGTCAGGTCTGAATAGCTCGGAACAGCTCATGCAGAATTGGGGATTCACCTAGCTGCATGTGAAGCTTGGCTGTTGATAAAAAAGGATGAGCTGAATGGAGCTGTCAACCAACAAAGGAGAGTTTCTGAGTGGGAGGCATTTCTGTAGAGCCTCCTCACAAAAGGACCTTTGGGTTTAATCTTGATACCAAAGTCAACGTTAGATGCTACAGAACCCATGGGAATGCAAAGGCAGGAAGAACCTTCGCTTGTTTGAATGTGTCCCTTGCTAGTCCTTATCATAAACACTAAGTGGAAAACAATAGATATTAAAATCTAAAAATGTGCAATAAAATGCATTCAAAATAGCCACGTGACTGCAAGGACTACAACGCAACCCCTTCCAATGTGGGAAGATTTCATCCAGCATCTTCAGATAATCATTGATTAATCTTTGTTCAATACATTTCCATCAACTCCAGCCGTCAAAGATAATAGATATTTTGTTTTTTAAAAAATAGCCGGGGTCTATTCAGGAAAGGCTTTTAGAAAAACAGTCAAACAAATATTCCAATATTCTGAATAATAAAACAAATCTCTCAATAAACATGTATGCTGTAAACCGAATCCAGATCTGATAATCAAGTCTATAATTCACAATTTTATTCTTATCAAATGCTTGGCAAACTAAGAGAACACATATCAAACGCATCCTCTATGCTGCTAGAGAATCAAATTCATAGTGAAAAGACCATTGCATTTGTGAGAAAGAAGTCCCAACTGACTTTTCTTTAAAATTGGGAAGACATGTCCAAGTCCATATTTTTCCAGATGTTGATGCCTCCCCCAAGGTCCTATCAATATTTGGAGGCAAAGTGCCTCTTTTGGGCAGCCCCTACCTAAATATTATGCTAGGCTTTCAGACACCAATTTTGAGTTTTAACTATCCTCTCCCAATCAAGGGCAGAAAATTGTAACCTTGGTGATGTTACTACATTTCTCTGTATTCTTTGGCGATTAAAGATATTGCTTTCTCTTATAATGTCATTATAAGAGGCAATAAAACCCTATGACCAGATCTTCAATACCAAAATTTACATCAAACTGAGCATTAACAGCCTAGAGCACCATGTCAAGATACCAAGATTAAAATGAATCAAAAGCATTTATTTTTGATACATTTGGTAGGGATAAAAATGCGTGAGAAATTGCTTACTTGTGTCCAGATTCATGGGCAATAGTAAACGCCAAACCAAGGCCAGTATCTTCATTGATGGTGCAACTGCGGTATTTGCTGCACATTCCACTGATTGGAGCAAAGCCTGCCAGGAAATTATAAGAAATAGGAAGCACAGTGGAGGAAAAGAATGAGATTATAAAAAGTACTGCATTCTGCTGCATAACTTTATGCAAATTAAGGCCACGTTTTAGAGGCTGAACATTCACGGCATATTTTGTTTCCTCCCGTAAAAGGAACAGACAGACATGGAAATAATGGGGCCAATCCAAGATAAATTTATCTTGTCTGCAACAGCTGGCCTGCAAAACTAACACAAGCTCATTTTCTCTGCTGACTCAACATCAGTCTAGGTCAGCTGGGAAAATGGTTTCAAAAAGAGATGCCAATTCTTTTCTGAAAGTCAGCCAGGAGGAATTAAGAATGATTGGCTAGCGATATTTCCAAAATCTAAAACAACAGCACTGGGAAGCTTCCTAAGCACAGTGGCCATTAAAATGGGATGTTTCTCTTGCCCAGATAATTCTTCTTTGGGGATCTCATTTATGTTGCCCCAAATCCTACTGTTAATATCGAAGGAAAAAATAAAAGTTGGAGATCAATTTGATTTTTTTATCATCTGTATTTTCCTATTGGTTTGCCTTGGGGTTTTGATTAGACATGCATAGAGAGGTTTAATGTTACCTCATGCTACTATAAATATAAATATATATATATAATCCCATCTCATGTAGTCTTGAGCCTAATACCCCTTCTCTTCTCTATATTCAGAATATTTAAAATATTGAAACAATAGATGAACTTTAATATTAAAGTTAATTATTATTATTAATAAAATAATATTAAAATTAATAAAAAATATTGACATTAATATCATGTATAGTTTTGAACATGAGCTTGGGACTATCTATAGGAGCATAGATGTAAAGGACTGTTCAGAATAGACGGACAGAAAGTTATCCAGAATAACAATCCTTAGTACCAACTAAGCCAACCACATTTCTCCTTCTTCAAACTATCTGCATGTTTGGTATTGATTGGCTAACTGCAACAGCAACTCCTGTTAATCTACCAATTATATTTCAGTGTTCAGTAAAACAAGATTTTGGCTGATGAATTCGGAAGCCAATGGGGAATGGAATGGAGTGGAGTGGAGTGGAGTGGAGTGGAGTGGAGTGGAGTGGAGTGGAGTAGAGTAGAGTAGAGTAGAGTAGAGTAGAGTAGAATAGAATAGAATAGAATAGAATAGAATAGAATAGAATAGAATAGAATAGAATAGAATAGAATTACGGAATGGAATAGAATAGAATGCTAGGATGTGATGTGATGTGATGGGATAGGATAGGATAGGATAGGATAGGATAGGATAGGATAGGATAGGATAGGATAGGATAGGATAGGATAGGATGGGACCCTGGAGGTCTTCTAATCCAACCCCTTGCTCAAGCAGAACTACACATCATTTTGGGGTCCTTGGTGCTTTTTGAGCTTGGTGGCTTTCCTGCAGACGTTTCATTACCAAACTAACTAATATCATCAATGTATTAGTTCGGTAGTGAAAATGTCTGCAGAAAGCCCACCAAGCTCAGGGAGCACTAAGGATCCCACAGTTGAACCGTGAGCTACAAATATTCCCTTCCATCAATAGATCATTTGCCATCCATGTTCCCATGAGATATTTTCTCTGTCTTACCTAAAGTGTCACAAGGCTCGTTCTTCCAGGAGCAAATATCAAATCCAGTAAGCAAGATAGCATGATCGTGCCTTTTCCCATTCTTTCCAACCAAAGCTGACTGCCATTGGCAAAAACTGTTCAGTGACTGGTCTGCATGGTGGTTGATCACTAGTCCCCCCTATAGAAAAATTACAGTTGATCACAAAAGTTAAACCCCAGTAACAAGCGAAAGGAGAAATTCTAGGGAGGCAATGAAAAGTAGACAGAGAACAGCACGCATTTGCACGTGCTTTTCACTGTTAAGAACAATGCCATTTAGGATTCAGCATTCTGAAGGCCGTCTTTTTCGAACATAGAATCATAAGGGATCTCAGAGGTCTTCTAGTCCAACCCCTTGCTGAAGGCAGAAGAGTTTATACCATGCTGGAGAAATTGTTGTCCAATCTCTTCTTGAAAACCTCCAGTGATGGAGTACCCACAAATCCAGGAGGCATGCTGTTCCACTGATCTCAATGTCAGGAAATTTTTCCTTACTTCTAGGCTGGATTTCCATTTAACAAGCTTCTACCCATTATTTCTTGGACTACCCTCTGGTGCTTTGGAGAGTACTGTCATTCAATCACATTTTCTCTTTTCATTTGTTTATATTTAGCTTATACCTTGTCATATTTTTTTAATCTATCAAAAACCATACTTGAAAGGCTGCCAAATTAATTGTCAACTGCTACCTCGGTCACCTATTATGATAGACAAATTCAATTATATGTATATAATACCAAGGCATGCTGCCAGAATATACACGCATCTCTCTATTATTAAATTAGATAGAAAAGGGGCTTGCTATTTTAGCATTCTGATGAGAAATCTTTTCTGTCTAGTATTTTTAGTATTAGTTTAAAAACTTTATGACAATAGAGCAGAAACCAGTAGCAGCCCTTAGATAATAGAGCATGGGCAACTTTTTTTTTAAAGCCATGTAACCTTTAAAGGCAAATTGTTGAGTAAAGCTAAATGAAACATGGTCTTCAACCACTGCAGAGAAAAATATATATTTGATATCTTACTTAAATAAGGAACAACATCACACAAACAAGTTCTCTCTCTCTCTCTATCTATCTAACTCTCTCTTCTCTTTCTATCTCTTTCTATCTCTCTAACTCTCTCTCTTTCTCTCTCTCTTTCTCTCTCTCTTTCTCTCTCTAACTCTCTCGCTTCTCTCCTTCTCTCTCTTTCTATCTATCTAACTCTCACTCTCTCTCTTCTCTCTCTCTCTCTCTCTTTCTCTATCTATCTATCTATCTATCTATCTATCTATCTATCTATCTATCTAACTAACTCTCCTCTTTCTCTCTCTTTCTATCTCTCTAACTCTCTCTCTTCTCTCTTTCTTTCTCTCTCTTTCTTTCTCTCTCTTTCTCTCTTTAACTCTCTCTCGCTTCTCTCTTTCTCTCTCTTTCTATCTATCTCTCTAACTCTCTCTCTCTCTTCTCTCTCTCTCTCTCTCTTTCTCTATCTATCTATCTATCTATCTATCTATCTATCTAACTCTCTATTTCTCTCTTTTCTCTCTCTCTCTCTCTCTCTCTCAGACATCATGGGTGTTAAACTGAGGCCCAGCTTCAGTGCTTTCGTCTTTCTGGAGCCCTTTATTGATTTGATTTTGAAGAAGACTATTAGCCTATCATACTTAGCATAATACAACCCCACTCACATTTTTCAGATTCAGTTTGAGGAATGAAACCAAGGGGAAAGGAAGATGAGGAAAAGGAGGGATAACATCACATGGGAACATACTCTCGAGAATCAATGGACTGCTGTTAAAAAGCCACAGAAAAAGAAAGAACACTTGCAAATATCATAGAGGAAATACACATAGATATTCCCTTCCATTTCTAAATAGGGAGGCAAGTTTCCTCTTAAAGCAAGGTAGTGTTAGAAAGAGAATTAAGAAGGGCCCATTTTGGTGTACTCCCGATAAAGGAAGAACTAAAATATCTACAGATCCATTCTATAACTTTATCCCTTGCAAATTTTTTCCCTTGTAATAATTCTGGCTAAACAAAATTTTGTTAGAAACTAGGTTTCTGGGTTACTGTTATGAATTTGACAATCACTGTGTTTATTGCATATGGTTCATAAACTCAAGAGAATCACCATGAAAATAAATTCTTCAGAGCAATTTCTTATATAACGGGCTTGTGTGTGAGCCTCAGTGCCTAACCCTTAGCTTTATGTAAAACACATTCTGACCAAAACTAACTTACAGGTTCTTGCTCCAAAAGAAGAAGGCTGACAACAACGATATTGATGTCACTTCCAATTGTACCATCCTTGAAAAGACTTGAGACCTGTGAAAAGATTAACATGGCAAAAGAAGATAAGGAGAGGAAAAAAAGTGGTTGGCAAGCAAAACTGATAGGAAGATTAAATTCACTCCTGACACAACTATGAGATTAAAATAGAAATGGACAACTGAAGGCTTGAGGGTCACATGGAACACATCCTCTCTTTGTTTGGGCCCCATCAAAAATTGTGCAGGAAAAATTGTGTGGTAAGCCAGTATAATTCAAAGATACTTTGGTAAACATGAGGAAGAGTGGGGGGGGGGGCATTAGTGAGAAAATGTGAAAATATCTCAACAATATAATCTAATAAATCTAATCAAATAGAAGCAAGATTGACTCGTTGGCATTCCTAATTCTTGATGGAAACTCCAACAGACCATGTAAATATGGACAATGGAGGACAACTATTATCGGAGAAAAAGGAATCACAAAAAACTTTCCTCTCAGTTTTGCAAATTAGAGTGGTTAATTAAAATAACTGTCTTAGCCTGGTTCCTACTGCACATTTGATTTTGATTTAACGTGTTACGGATGCCCCAACTACTGCATTTGACTATCCAGCTTTAAAGTTTTGGTTATCATATAAATTATCTAACCAATTGGGGTTGACAATTAAACACATCATGGCTTCATAGAGCAACATGGCTCAATGCCGTTTCTGAATCTTAGAAAGCCACTGCAAAAGAAGGAATCAACTGCCGAAGATGATCTTGAATAGGTAAGTTCATAAGACAAGACAGAGATCCTTCAGAAGTCAGCAAGAGTGTTATAGCCTAAGACCGGATCTTTAAATTCCTTCTGCAAACAGTCTAGGAGCCAGGAAATAATATACCTTGGGGGTCTCTTCTCTACTGAACTTCAGGCTTTATGCACCCTACTGATTAATGAAGGGTACCAGTAGCTGTGTCTACTGCCAAAGAAGCAAAGATGCACTCCCGGCTCCTGCTAACACAAGCGAGGAGAAAGGTCAGGAGGGGGAAAAAGGGAACAAGTTCACAACCTCATTTCCTTCCTCACTTTGAAGCAAAGCGTAAACACTCAAGCAAGGCCACAGCATTGATGGCATTGTGCGATTTAATCTGACATGACAATGTGGCTTGTTTGTATCAATGCTGGGCATGGACCCAGTCCTCTTGCAGAAAGAAATGGCCTACGAAAGCTCTAAGCATTATCTTCTATCCACTTTTATTGCTGCAAGATCATCAGGTAAATATTAACTGAGCCTCTTTCAAAGAGCCCCCCCTCTTCTTGAAAAGGTGTATGTTTGAAACACACAAATAACTATTATTACAATGAATAATAATGCTCCTGGGCACTATGCCCTGGTCACCTCCCAGATGGACTGCTGTAACACACTCTAAATTAGCTGCTTTTGATCTGGCGCGTCTGATGCAAAATGCAGTGGCATGGGCAGTTACGCATGCTTCAAGAGCTGCATGCATTACACCTCTGCTTCCCAAGCTGCATTGGTTACCAAGCTGCTTCCAGATCCAACTCAAGGTGCTGGTTATGACTTTTAAAGACCTAGGTGGCATGGGAGAGTTTTTGAGGGACCACCTCTCCCCAGTGACATCTACCTATCCCATCAGGTCCAGCAGAAGAGGCGTGTTACGGGTCCGGTCAGTCTGGGACTTTCATTGGGAGAATTCTAGCAGGAAAATCTTCTTGCTGTAACCTCTGCCCTGATGAACAACATTCTCCCAGAGGTGAAGCTGACCAAACCCAGTTAGCCTTCCAGTAATGAGCGCAGGGATGTCATGATAGAGTGGAGCATGTTGGATGGCTACATCCTTGTCTTTTTACTCTGCTGTATATATTTTGTTTTATATTTGCCACCCATAGTCACTATGTGAGATGGGTAGGTAGGTAGGTAGGTAGGTAGGTACGTAGGTAGGTAGGTAG